ATAGTTATATTTTGTTGCAGTGCGTTAGTTGTTAAAGTTTTTGACTTCCAATCATTGTGTAGCAGGGTTTTGTTTATTATACCCTGACAACTGTGTTTCTGGTAGTGGATTACTGGCAGAACCAAGGAAGGATGAAACATTTTGGCAGACGCTTTCATCTCTGATTGTGGTTATCAGTTTTAAAAATCATCCGCCGCTTTTTGCATGACTTTCATCATATTAGGTTTTTAAAAACATTTCACTTCTACAGAAAATTCCACCGGACGGTCTATCAAACGTACCATGACCAGCTGGGATATTTCGTAATTCAACGATTATTTTGTATGCTTCACTTTCTGTGATGTTCTTTGACCTGGTGTACGTAAAATGAAGACATTCTATTATCCACGGCCGCAGATCGTTCACGTGACTCTTCAGGCGTCCTGGTGCTGATGTTTTAGATGAGCTGGAGCATATGAAAGTTCTTACTCCAATCTCCATAAGGCATACTGCTCACTAAGTATTAGTGTCATTACTTTGAGTTACTAGGTTTTTTTGGCCTAGATTGTTGTGATATCACTCTATCAACATATGCTGTCGTACACTGGAATGGTGAAAGGAGCACTTGCTAATTACATCAAACAGATTAACAAATGGTGCGACTTTTAGGTTGTTTGTACACTTTTAAGTGCGAAATTTTTCTTTATAGAGTAGTTCGTACATATACACAGCTCAGTAATAAAAAGTGAAGTAACTGTGCGCTCCAATCGCTTCATTTATTCTGGTAACTATATATATATATATATATATATATATATATAAATCTAATAAATTACACTTCATGTAACATAGTATGTAGCATAAAACAAACTGTACTGCACCGTATTATATTATATTTAATGTATTTATTTATCGGTGTTTATGTGTTACCACTATCGTATAAATAAATATGCATTTTTGTGTAATATGTATGACCTCATGAGGACATATATATATATATATATATATACTTCAGTTCATTGTTTTTCCTCTCTCGCTCTCATCCTGTGCACATATATCAAATGTTTTGCCTGATTGATCTATATTTTGCATAATATTCGACTAGATCAGTTTGGTTCTGTTCAGTTCACCTCAGTTCATGTTTAAGTATGTAGACATTACATTTTTTCCTACGTATTCTATTCATCTTCTAAGGTTTTTGTACACAAACTCATCCATCCACATCTTTCTATATGCTCATACATATGCTTGCAAAAACTTTTGGATGCGTACATTCAATAGATTACTATCAATAATATTGCTTGTATAAGCTTATGGAATAAACAATAATTTTTGATCTTTAATTTATAACTTTATTCCGCAATAGAACTCTTATTTTAGAAACAAGAATGTCTTGTTCATATTATAGTGTTAAAATTATCTATTCATTTGCTCTATTTATTTTATATTCTTTAATTTCGATACAGTATTGTCTATGAATAATAATTAGATGGAGTAGTAAGAATATATGTATTCAGTCTTGCATTATCTATAAAAGTATATCTGTTTATTGATAATAAGACATGGTTGATGTATCATTTGGTCATTTCAGTAACATATTTGTTGATTGAACTGAACAATCCAAGTGAAAATACTAGGAATAATAAATATTAGATTAATTTTTCACATACGACTACCATTTAAGAAATACAATGTATTTCATTTAACACAGAAAGCTTTATTTTCATATTGGGATTCAGTACCGTGCATCCTCTTGATATCTTCTTTCTGGTAATGGAAATTTATTTTTATGGCGTTTTCTATTACCATAAAATTAGTTGATCAGTATTTATGGTAGCCAATCGTTTTACGTGAAACTCAACTGTATTCAATATAATAGTCATTTTTCTATGGTTCCATTTTTGTATTTTCTCAAGATGTCTACATTTCTCATTGTTATTTTTTCTGAATAAACATAAAATTACCAAGTGTATATAGTTTCATTTTAACTAAATTCATTAATAGAACTCATATAAGAAATCATGATGCTATCATTCACGTACTATCTTCATATAACTATGTAGTAGGATAATATCTACTTACCATTTGAATGATAAGTTAGTAGCTACAGCATTCAGCTTTTGACTATTGATTCGAACAGTGACTTACTTATTTCGATCTGAACAGAGGTGACTAGTATTGTAGTGAACGAAAACTCAGGTACCGTAAACCAATTTATTGTTTTATGCAAAACCACACAGTGGATTTGTAAAATATGAAAATTGTACATTAAATACATCATCTGTACATCTTCCTTGAGTTGTCCTTTATATACTCCGTCATTCTTCTAACCCTATTGTTATTCCGATTGCTCCCCGATTTCCATTTTATTCTCTTTATTTCAATCTTCTGCTGGTAAGCAAGCAATTCCATTCCAATTCCTTCTACGCACTACTTATGTCTGTCTGCATAAGTAGCGCAAACTACATTATCACTAATCCTTATGAAAAATGTTTGACTTCAAACCTCCTAGTACGTAAACGTATACTTGGTTATTAAGTTGCATTACTATTGAATTGTCTATTGTGTCCTTGACCCGGAAAATTACATTTGTACTGTTTGAGATGTAGCACTATCATTCAGTTCTAAAAACTATTACCATTGTTTTAGAAATGAATCAAAAGGTGTTATGATATGTACATGTATCACTTGTGTATGTAAAATAGTTTCTAATCTAAATTGTCGATAATTTGGATATCTGTTGGAGTGAATATAAAGAATCGATTTTAACATTGTGTCGGATAGAAATGACTTGTCGCTTAAGTTGCTAAGATAATTGCTGATCTATGTGGGCTTTTTCATACTGGTCGTATAGAGTTCAACTGGATGTTTTTTTTCGGTTTTCACATAATTCTTATTTTTCTAAGTGTGTCATAACAGCTTTTTCTTTGAGTTCATAAAGTTACATATTGTGTTTGTGTGTATTGGTATTTACGCAATCAATATTTATAATCTGATAGATTTATGTGATTTTATACACACTTGTTCTTGAATTCCCACTATCTCAAGACCTGTAATTGCTTAACTTGTTTCTTATGGGCTTGCAAAGTTTTTAATCCATTTTTCATTACTATAGTGTTAATCATGTCACATGTGTATGTTTTAACAATTTTCCAATGTCATCAGGCTTCGCTGCTGCTGATTTTGAAATCGCAGCTTTTCAAAGTCAAACGAGCATAATTTTTTTAGACCTCTTGATTTTGTTTTGTGTTACCTGTTCTCCTTTGGAGTTGCCAGCTGTAAAATTGACACATAAAATCACATTGTGAAGATAACCCACCCTTTTCAGTCTTCAATAAAAGTGCGATATCTAGCATTTTTCGTTCAGCTAATGTGCCAATGCCTCATATAACAGTGTACTTTTTGTTATGAACTTCGTTTTAATCAGCTTAAGCTGTTCACATATGTCATCTATAAACACGCCACTGTAGCTCATTCCAACTTACCGGATGAAAAAAAACAAATGAAATTTACAGTGACAGTTATGATCTCATATGCTACGTATACTCACAGAATGAACAAAAAAAGCTAAATATTGCACAAATTCACAGACACATCCTATCCTCATACCGATTTTTAAAAAAGTTAAAAAGGAATATATTATTTAATAAAAGTGCTCCTTTCGTGATGAGCTATAGTATTATGTTATTAGTTAAAAAAATCCTGTTGTTACTTGTGGTGGTGATAAATGTAATTTTTAAAAAACTTTGATTACACCGTTAGATGATAGTGGTTAACATTGAAGTATGAGACTCCCATTTTATCTTATTAGGAACTTTTCATTTGAATGTGCTTGTATCCCATTGTTGATGTATGCATTGATACTTGACCCCTAGTTACTATCACTCTAAGCTTCAAAATACACTATCCACTAAGCCACTGAATCCCAAATACGATCGAACGTGGATTCTGGATCTCATTGCCAATCACTATTATAAACCTATAGTTACGATTACTATATCGAAGAGTTCGATAGTAGCCCATACTCCAATAAAGACCAACTCGAATTCAGTCTTCAATGCCAACAACTGGAAAACCCAAACCTTTACTGCTACTGCTACTACTACTTACTTACTTTACTTTACTTACGCCTGTTACTCCTAATGGAGCATAGGCCGCCGACTACTACTACTACTACTACTAATAATAATAATAATAATAATAATAATAATAATAATAATAAAATAATAGGAGGAAATACTGTCGAATAAGTTAGGTTGTTATTTATAGATAGAAACATTTTGTTGTTTGTCTTATATAGGTCAATGAATAAATTTTGTTGATAGAACAACAATATCATGTAGATATACGAATGATTACTAAGGTATAATCCCGATATGTATATATACTATCACCCTTATAATTGAACCTATAAGTACACTAGAGATTTAAGTGTCCATTCTACGATTAGAATAATAGTGCTTTAGTAAAAATAATAATCCTTGACACCGTGTTGAATGTTTGGCAGTCAGGAGGAGGTTACCAGGTTTGTCCTAAAAATTTACTACCACTAAATAGTTATAATACTAATCAAGCGAATGCAAACAAATGAACCTTTAGTCGTGTATACATAAAAAATAATAATAATAATTTTGAGTTCATTTTCTTTCTCTCTGTTGTATGATTCTTTTTATTCCTCTTTCTTATTGGTTTTGTGTTTTAATTAATAATTGTGCTCAGCAGCGTTGATGACCATTGGTGTTTATTGTCGTATATATTTATGCGTAATCACACATACGTGCATGTGTGTGATATATTGTTGATTGCTATAATAATAATAATTAAAGCTATTAGGTTTTTTTAAACCTATGGTTGAGTCTGTTTTCATCATATATATATTGGATTTTTGATAGCAGCGATGTCTATTTGTTTAATCCATTGGATATCGTTTCTATTCTTTGTATTCTAATTCACCATTTTTTGTGTTTCTGATGGATTACTTGGTGTGATTACTAACTGGACTTATATCTTTTTATTACCAGCTTCCCGGTACTACTACTACTATTACCGCTGCTACCACCACCACGAATACTACAACAACAGAAACATTGAAGTCAATGAGTTTATCATCTTCATCAGCATCATTGTTATCATGTTCTACTGGGATGCGTTCTTCTAATCCAGATTTTGTTGATTTGTCAAATTCAGATCCGAAACGTTTACGTTTATGCTTTACAGACATAAATAGTACTATTTTTGCGACTGCTGCTAATTCCACCACCACCACCACTACTACTACTATTACTCCCACTACTGCACATGTTGACATCAGTGTATGTAATGAAACAAGGGAGCTGAATAATTATCAACAATTTCCGTCTTATCTGTTAAATGATTCTTATGATCAATGTTCACACTATCAAGTTAATAATAACAGTAATAATAGTCGAATCCAATCACATGTTAAAATCTCTTCTCCATTAATATCGATTCCATCATTAACAAAAGGTGTATCTTCAACATCATCTACAAGTGTTTGGTATCCATCATGCCTTGGAATTGTAAATTCTTCTGAACCATCTTTTGTCCCAACATCATCGGAACTACATGACTCGTCCGTAATGAATGAATGTTCTAGTTATCTTCAAATTATGGACGCAAATTATCATCCATTATTAAAAGATACTCCCCGATCGACGTCAGTTTATTTAAATCCTAATCTTCCTACTTCGTCCTCATCAGTTATGCATCCTTCAAATCTTGTACTACAAAATGTCCATGATAGTCCTAGTCATGGTGATAGTTCTTGCAATAGCAACACATCTATTGTTTCTACTCCTGTTCCTGCAACTGTAAATACTACTTCTCCTGTCATTAACAACAACAGTGATAGTGCTTCACAATTGTCGTTACATACCGATAATCCTAGTCAATCTATTCCACCGTTTTGTCATAATTCTCAACAAAATTCTAAATTACATTTAGTTTATAATCAACCACATTCTAGTTTTGGTAGTCCAGTTGTTTGTAGCTTATCTGAATCATCTAGCTTGAATTTATGTGGAAATATGCTCAATACTACTACTAAATCTACAAGTAACCCTAGTAATTCATGTTTACCTTTTAACTTCGATAAAAACCATTCATCTTTTCTCAATGATAGTGGTATTAATAATCATTTGTATTCACTAACCTCTTCTGTCCATGATAGCCAGTATCATCAAAACATACGACAACAAATAAAAGCTCAACTTATTGTGCCTCCTTCACTTCTTCCTTCTCTCCCTTCTCTTTCTAACCATCCTTATCCCCAATTGACCAATGAACATTTGATGAATACTACCACATCACATACACAAATGATGATGAATTCCACCTCAATCAATCAATCAAATCCCACAGATTTTATCGAGACTGAATCAATAAAAACAGAGCGTGGTGAATCAGAAGGTGGAGGATCAAGTGAATCTGAAGTATCTGGTGATTATGGCGGTGTCAGAACTAGTGATAATTTAAGAAGTGCTAACAATCACAACAGTAATAATAATACCTATTCTACTGCTAGCAATACGAACAATGGAAGCTTTGAATTGATCAATAATGAATTATTAACAAATAAAAAATATGATTGTAACATTGATGAGATTCCAGATGATGATTATCTGACAGGTGATGATACTGATGGGGACGATTGTACAGATAGTACTGTTGATGATGAAGAAGATACTGATTACGATGAGGTGGACGAGTATGATGATGATGATGATGATGATACGGAAAATGATATTGATGATCCTGATAGGGATTTTGATGATGAAGATAGAGAGGATGATGAACTCAGTGGTGGTGGTTGTGGTGTTACTAGTATAGGAGGAGCAGGTGGAAGAGATATCCTTGAGATATCTGAAGGTACTGGTCATTCTAGTTTTACTTGTTCCACGTCATCTTACCATAAATCAGAATATGAAAGTGAATCAAATCATACTGGTGCTACTACTTCTCATCTTAATACTACTATTTCTTCTTCTACTACCACTAATACTACTAATAATAATGCAAATAAAGTTACTAACTATGGTAACGATAATGAGATTTTATTTAAAAATAATCCTACTACCCATGCAAATGGCTTTAGATTTGGACAGATATTTACAACATCGGTAGAACATGATTACAAAGTTGTGGAAGTTGTTCAAAAATTTATCCCTGTAAGTTTCAGTTTCGATTATTATTATTATTATTATTATTACTATTATTATTATTATTAAACATCATTTCGTGATTTCGATGCTTTCAAGTAGCATTAATGTTAGATGATTGAAGGGAACTACTCGTAAACTAGTCGCCAAGACTTGTTTGCACTTTCGAGGGGATTGATACTTCCACTGAGATTCGAACTCATATCACAACAGTATTTGTATCACTATTCCATTCATCTATTGGGAAAATAGTCCAGTGAACTGGTCATATCTCTTCATATTTATATGTCCAACCCCATTGAATTCAGTCTGCTTAAATATAATTGTCTTAATTTTTATCGCATTGCTTTAGGCTCCAGATCTTAGCAAATGATTTGTATTTATTAAAAGTACGAATAATCGGTTACTCGTGATTTTTTTACTGGACAAATTCTTTTTAGAACTGTGTGGTTTTTGTGTATAATTAAGGTCTATTAAGTGTTCAGTGATTTTTTACAAGTATTCCTAGAATTTACTGAAATTGTTGACTAGATAATGCCAGTCTCGTGCACATAGTTTCTTACAAGATAGAACATTCGATCAAGGAATATAGCTTAGTACACGAACTTTTTACGATCACATGTTGTAATTTGTGCTGATTAGACACACGAAATCCTTTTGTAAAAAGATGGTACAATCGTCCATCACAACTCCTGAGCTAAAGTGTATTTGTCACCTGTCAATTGCTAATGATTTCTCCAGAACTTCTTTGAACCTAATTTAACACTGAGAAGACTAGATGATTTGATTTTCTTGCCGTTTTCACTCACCTAAGAAGTTTCGTTAGTGTTAACTCCTGGTCAAAATAATCTCCGATTATTCTAAGTGACCCCATTTGTTCGTATAGAAACGTCACATGTACTGTGAATTACACGTTCAAAGACTTATTACATAAGGTACTAAAAGCCAACATACTAAAATTCACAAATAAATCCAAATGACGAGTTCGAAACAACAAAAATACACCTGTTTTTCATTCCCAACTACTACTTAAAATGGATTTGTTCAATTTTCTCTTCCGAATTGCAAAGATTTCCATAACGTAATAAACTATTTAAAAATGTATTACAATTCTTGTATCGATCAAATGTTTAGATGTATTTTCTTTTCCTTTATGTAGAAATTAAAACGCAGTCTCTTTGAATTATCCCCATTTTTAAAATCCGAAAATCTCGAACTGACGAATAGCAGTACTACCACAATACTATCATCCTCTTCCTCTACGTCATTATCACGAAACGAAATAATCAATGAACGCATCAATACGGAGCCTGTGTTAATGTTTAGAGAATCGTCTGTAGGAAATTTTTCAAATCCCATCTTGCCATTGTCACCATCATCACTTGTACATGAATCACAGCCGCATAATAATGATATTGGTTCTCAGGTAAAATCAGTTAGTCATTTTGACTCGGCTGAATCCAGTATGCCAATCTTTAAAAATAATAAAGCGAATTGTTTTCCAACACTTGGTACTTCTTCTCCTTCAACTGCTCAAATAAATGAAAATAGTACTACAATTATTAATCCCTATTTAGACGATTTATTGTCTTCCTTATGTTCATTATTAGAAACGTGTTTATTTTATTTGGTGGATTGGATGGCTCAAATTGAATCGTTTAAAGTATTACCGGTGAGTTGTGTTCATGTTATTGTCCTTGTTTCTTGTTGGCTTTTTCCATCCTATTACTATTACTTGTTTTTTGTTTTCCATATTGTTACCAACTAATATTTTTTATACCTAACATCACGAAATGGTCTTAGTTAAGTAATCATTGAGAACCAAGAAGCATCAGATAGCTGTTTCGTCCTAGCTTGAGACTTTTTAGCAGTACGCATACACAACCCTGTCACCAGGAACCGAACCCAGGATCTTTGGTCGCCAGACCACTGAGCTCCGAATTCGATGGTTTGCATTCCTGACTTCAATCAATTTGTAATACTACGTGCAACCATCTTCCAATATACCTGGTGGGTAACTGTCTATTATATAAATCGAATTTTTTAATTAGAAAAAGGTTGAGTGTGTATCACTAGTTAAGGAAATAACTTGTTTTAAAACTAAAATAAGGATAATAAAACGTAACTAATATTATCATAGTTATTTATAACCAATCTAGGACTTGGCATATATGTTCGCACTACATATTGATCACTCTGCCACACCCTGTCCGCATGATGAAATGAAATTAACAAGATGAATAACGAATTGGTTGCAATACTAATAGTGTTTTTGTTCGTTAGAAAAAGCCTAAATATGTAGTTTGAAGTTAGTGATTTAACGACGAGGATTGATAGGACTAAATAATATCGCAACTCAAGGTTTTGACACCAATGAAGAATGAACACATCTGCGCCACTGTAACTTATGTTTAGCTATGCCATCTGAGGTCTATGACAATCGTTCATGATTGTCATATGAATCTCAACTAGGAAGTCTACTTTTATCACGATTAATCAGTCTAACGGCCTCTGCTTTCTTGGACACGCGCTAAGTTTTGGAATAACTACTCCCAGTTTTCAACATGCTCCAGCCCACACTGCACATCAAAGTAGACAGTTGTTGCGGTCACACGTAATGCATATCCCAGCCATTATGGTCAGTGAAATACATAGCCTTATTAATTATCTGTCATCATTATATTGTACCTTTACATTTAATCACCAGCATTGCTCACTAACGTGATACATTCAATAAATTTTTTATCATAGAAAAAGCAATACTTATTCGCATTTGTATTCTTGCATGGAATTTTCTCAATCTTCATTTAACAAATGTACGTATGTATTAATTTTCACTATGGCTTTTTTCTACCTTAAATTTGTGTGTTGAGAGAAATATCTATTGATAAAATATTATTACTATCATTAGCTTATTGAACTGTTTCATTCATGTACCTTCTTTCTTTTAGATAATTCTGTTTTTTATCATTATCTCGTACAATTGCAAATTCATTTCCTCACCATCACCTCCCACCACTTATACCACTGTAACAATAATTATTGTTCCTATTGTTGTTTTAGTTATCATTTTGTCGTGACTACTTCAGTGCTTCTTATTTTGCATAATAAAAAGTAGCTCTCCTCCACAATTTGTTTATTTATCTCTTCCTCTCTTTAAAAAAGAACAAAATAACGCAACAATAACATAAACGACTTGCTTTTCAAACACTGTGGGTAATGTATTGTTATGTATGTTATGAGAATAACTATTTTTGTTATTATCTGACAACAGTAATGGACAACCCAATCAATAACGTATTGTTATTGTGCAATTATGCAATTTTTTCCATATCGGGAAATTTTCGCCACTTTAAAAAGGTGTATATGTGTGGTGATAAATCCAGTGGGATAAAACAAAAATAAAGAAATGGAAATAATGGTTGACAATAATAGTGATAATAATAAAGGATTAAATGCAGAAAAAGTTATTAAATAGGGATAAAGAATGGAGTACAATCTAGAAGAAAATACATTGATTCATTACTTGTAAATGAATATTAATCTTCAAGCCTATATCCTTATGTTTTCTATGTGCTGCATGAGGTTTGATTATATGAAAATCACATTGTTATTCTGGCTAACCTCATCAACTTCCCCACTTCAAATAGAGAAAAAACAGTGAAATTCACACCATCAAATCATCTAGCTTAGAAAAAGCAACACTGCCTATCATTTGAATTCCAAATCTGCTCTGTCCTTTCAATATATTTACTCCATTTTCGTAACTATCTATCAATCCACATATTGGCAACAGGAGTGGTGGTGGTTACAATATAAATAACGTAGATGTTAGCATTGATTGGTTTTCAAATAAAGCTCATTAGTATAATTATTTGGGATACAACAAACTTAAGAGTATAAATTGTCTAACATTTCTTATTGATAAATGTGATAAATGCACAATGCATTGTTAATTTTTCCCAACGCATATATATCTGGTGCCCTCTTGTACCAATATTTATGTGTTCAAATAAATAAATAAATAAATAATGCATTTATTGAGAGGAGAGAACTTAATTCAGCAAATTATCCAGTCCCTTACTTCACTTTATACTTGCAGGTTATCTTTGTTTATTGCTAAACATTTTTTATGTGGTAAATGCATCTTACATATTGTTATATTTGATCTTTTGCTTTAAGTAATATGGAAGTGACTTCTTTGTTATTGTTTCATCTTCAGGTTTCTTTGTTTATTTCACACTTATTTTAAAATTTTCTTTTTTTTACTTATTGTCAAATACTTCGATGTTCAAGAAAAATATACAATATACTTTGTCTAATTAACCTTATTAAACGAAGTAATTGTAAAATCTACATTTATCAATCTTGACAATATCATCAGAATTGATTTTAGCAAGAATCGAACTTTAGACTGCAGTTCATGAGTAGCATCATCCAAAAGTTTACGTTGATTGAACTTGAACATAATTTGTTCTTAATAAACGACTTTTTTTCTACTCATGTCATATGAATAGGTTAAGTTGATAAGATGGTACTGATTTGTAAAATCGCATTATCTGTGCAAAGAACTCAATACATCTATCAGATGCACTGAAATGTCGGATTATATATGTAGCCCAACGTGAAATTTGACTAGTCTGTTCATTGTTTGGGGAAAAATAACTAATATTACATACTCTTATGGGTCACTAGATTTTCTTGTGGTTTATCAAAAGTTGTACTAGTTTTATGTGAATTGGTTAACTAGAAATATACCAGTAAGGCAGTAAATTGATGTCTAAATTCTATTTATTGTTACAAATACATTATCATAACTGTCCTATGATCCTTTTGAAAACAGATAAGGACTTTAGTTGTTGTCCGTGTAAGTTTGGGTTTAGTTTTTTTTCTTAATCATGATGACGTGGGGTGTGGTGATTCGATCCTTCCTTTTCCATCATAATTGTACTGTGGAATAGCTAAGCACTATTTACATACTATCCAATCATCTGTTTGACAATATAAGTGATGAACTTCCTCAACTATTTCCATTCGCATAAATCATGTGTCATGATCATAAAACAGAACCATATGGACAGATTGGTTTTTGTATTTGTTGTTTGACTCTTCCCACTGATTTTTAGGACTGCATATGTGCATCCTATGCGGATTACCTCGAACAGATCTACTTTATATATAAGATAGAAGAAACTGATTGTTTTATAACCATAGTTCAACGTACATAATAATGAGTCAAATTTCTTTATTTTAACCTCTAATTATAAATTTTTTTCACCAACAATACTGCCCAAAATAGGTTACTGTTTTTGGTCCCAGTAGGACTATTTTGAAAGTTAATTTTTATCACAAATTGACTGTAGCTTTAGAGCTACTGGGATTCACTCGATATCGGATTTCCCAGCAAAGTATTGAGTCGTGATCGTATGTGAATTTGAATTCGAAGAATTACAAGTGTCACAGTGAGGGCTCTACTTTCTAGCCCCATTATCAGTCTTTTTTGGTAATAGGCTAGTGGTTGTTAAAGCATTTAAATCAAACCATTAAGTTCGTACGTGCGAATGCCAGTTCATCTCTTTTGGTTTGAGTAGTCCGAAGTATTAGAAATTGCCATCTAGAAAATATGTAATTCAAATCTGAGTGTTATCCACAAATCTTTACTTCATAATTAAGTGATTTATGTAATTTTCTTTTTACTTCCGTACTTTTAGGTTGAAGATAAAATGCAATTGTTGAATAGTAGTTGGAGTGAAATTATCCTACTAGAGTTTATTCATTTTTATGTAACACATTTAAATAATGCTAAACGACCAAATACAGTAAGTAATCTTGTTCTGTATTATTTCTCTCTACTTTCTCTTTAAATTTATTTATCTTTTTTGTAATCATGTTATCAAAAGACAGATTAATTTGTGCGGTTGTCTCTACTCTGACATAAACTCTCCCTTCTTTTAGAATAATGGGAATTCAATTGGTTTTGTTAAAGAAATACAAAATACAATTATTAGTTCCGTTCATGTTTTTCTTTGCATAGACATATTGATGATCGAAATGTGTTCTTTTAAACAAACGTTATATGCTGTTTACTATATATATATATATATATATATATATATATATATATATAATTGTTTCAGCCTATATTAAATAGTTGAATGAGTGCTACATTAAATTAGACAAAACCTTCTTGACCTTGTATCCAGTCCCCAGCCATCTACTTAAAGTGGGGAGGTTGAGATTCCTCTACGTATTTTAAGCACCTGGGATCAACTCCATAAAGCTGGATTCATGTATCTAAAAGAGGGACATTCATCCTCTTTGTTTTGCAATGACCCGCTATTTATCCCATACATGAGCCACATATTATCTGCTTCTACACATTAATCCTCTTTCATGTTCCTCACTGCCCTGCTTACATCCTTAATGTGCTCGTTTATCTTTCAATTCATATGAATTTCTCATCACACTTGCCTGGATAACATTTTCCTCATTACACAATATATCCATATGGTTTTCACAACTAATATTAATATCGTTATTATTGACGCTATTAATCCAATGCGAAATTTTTTAAGTATATAGATTATAAATCAACACAGCTAAATTTTCAACCCCTTTCTTGAGTGACTTAATTTGAATCAACATTCTGACGACCGAATCATCTCATTGTAAACCCTCTTCGACAATACAAACCAACAAAAAAGAACATGTTAATTGGTTTGAAATTAGTTGAGAAGTACGTGTCCTCCTCTTCATGCCAGTTGGCATTCATCAGTAAGGTGTACCTGCAATCTTCAGTGAACCTATGCTGTCTGTGGTATTTATGTCAACTAGCACGAAACCTAGACCTATGGTTTCCTGCCAACTATTCTCAATCGCCAACATTTTAAAACAGTATATATGCGATATCTAAGCATGTGGACTAGATGGCGAATCACCGCTTAATCAAAGGAATTCAGTCATCAGTTAAGAGCACGAGTAACATGACATTAGTCACTACACACTGATCAACCAATTGTAAAATTGAACATATTTGTATAACAGGTGACTGTACTTGACTCCCATAGCTGTTCTTTTGGCTTAAATTGTTTCCCTTTTCAAAAAAGATCATTTCAATCTTATCCACTTGATCCTCAAGTGTTTCTAAATCTTCGATTATCATTTGTTGCCATTATTATAATTATTTTGTGGTGTGTTCTAAAGAAAGTGCATTCGACAGATATTGTATTACTAGCCGGAGACTTGAATGCTCAGGTCGGGCGTCTAGACACAGAAGAGAGTCGTTTAGGTGGCCGATGGGGATTTGTTGATCGCAGTACAGATAACGGGGACCGTCTACTGCAAGTGTGCACAGACCACAACCTGTTTCTGGCTAGCACTAACTTTCGGCACAGTCATTGCCGATGTGCCACCTGGCGTCCTCCCTCTGCATCTCAAGCCTGGACTCAAATTGATCACATCGCGATCAGCTACCGCTGGCATGATTGTGTACAAGACTGCTGCTCCATTTGGAGTACCTATCTGGTCTCTGAGCATGCCCTGGTCTGCACCAATCTTACCTTACTTTTTAGTGGCCAACAAATTCATGGTCCTAAACGTATTGATGTCAGTAAATTGGTTACAACTTCTGTTGCAACTAAGTATCATAACGAGCTAGCTTCTAGGCTAGCTACCATCCCACCGAAAACTATAGATGAGCATTGGTTACAATTGTATGACGCCATGAAAATGGCGAGTAAGGCCTCTCGCGGCTTCGCGAAACCTCCCTCTTATAAGTACTGGGTTTCTTCTGGCTTCTGATAAATCATTGAAGCTAAGGTCGTCGGTTTGCTCCGGGTGACCTTGAGTTTGACCACAAACGACGATTATTACGTCATGAATTTGGGAAAAGCTTGCGTAAGGACCGAGAAGCCTGGTGGTCGGAGCCTGCCAATGAGTTGGAAGCAGCAGCTGCATCTGGTAACTACCGGAAGCTCTTCCAACTCATCCGAACCACTGGCAGCAAGAAGTCTGGTGTGAGCGAAACAATCTGTGAGGATGACGGGGTGCAAATCACTAACATCTGTCGATGTCTTGGGCGATGGGCGGAGTTTTTCGAGGGACAGTTCAGCTAGCCCGCTGCCCCGGCAACATCGGTCAGACTGTCCTGCCCTCCATGGTCAGTGACGACTGATCCACCAAATGAGGCGGATGTCCGCAAGGGATTCCAACTCTTGAAGCGCTACAAATCACCTGGTCCAGATGACTTACCTCCGGCCATTTTTAAAGATGGTGGCAGTCTTCTGGTTAAAGGAACTGACTGTGTTGTTTACAAAGATTCGGGAGCTAGAAAGTGTTCTAACATCATGGAATGAGTCGATAATCGTCCCTATCTTTAAAAGACGTTCACGTCACCTAAGTTAGAATTATCAGGGGATGAGTCTACTTCCGATTGCGTCCAAACTATTGGCTTCCTTCATACTTCGTAGATTCTTCGAAACCCGGAAAAGAATGAATCGTGAGGAACAGGCTGGTTTTCGCTTTGATTCGAGGATGTATTAATTATATCTTCACCCTCCGCCAAATGTTGGAACACTGTTACACTTATCACAAACCAAGAGCCGTTGCGTGTCTTGAAATCATGGTTGCCTTCGATTCCAGTGGCAACACCATGTTAGTAATGCAGAGGTTCTGCATCGTATGTTCGGGCAAAGAGACGATAATTCAATTGGTGTCACCATCTTGAAACATCTACTTCGGTGGCATGGATATGTTCTACGAATGTCATCTCAGAAAATTCCACGTCGTGCATTGTTTGCCGACTCTGGGACTGGTTGTAGAAAAGGGAAATGTGGTCAGTGTATGACATGGTGTTGTGGTATGAAAGAAAGCTGCAAAGGGCTGGCTTCTGTTGGTCTTTCACGACTCCCTGGTTGGGGTCCGAGAGATGGTGCTACACAGTGGCTAGAGACGTTATCAGAAATGGCTCAGAATACAAGCCATTGATGATCCTCCTTGAACCTTATTTTGCTTTCTTCATAAAAAGACGTAACTTCCCTCAGTGGAAGAATTATCTGAGGCTGTACTTTGCTAATTGAACTGCCCCTCCCATTATTGTTATTTCACTAATTTCTGTCCATTGTTTTACTTCTTTTTTCTTATACGCACATTAAATTTTTTATATCTACGCATTCTCATTTTTATTGTGTGGCGCATATATATCTGGTTCCTCTTTGTACTAATATTTGTGTGTTAAAATAAAATAAAAAATGTGGTGTGTGTTACTTACGCGGACGAATGTTAGCATTATGTGTCAGTCAGACACAATGTATAACCTGTATGCATGTACATCGGTTCAAGTTGCCAAGCCCCATTAACACAGCGAGATGAGTTTGTCAGGCCAGATTCCAGAATAGTAGATGCAGTAACAATATCAATGGTAATAGGAAAGATTAAGGTCAAACATAAGACTCGCAAAGAAAATATAATTCAGTGAAATAGCGAACAGGTTATGGGGAATTTGGAATCCTAGAATTTGGAGGAAGGCAAAGAACAGATGCACCTGCGCAATTGTAAACTATTTTGAACCACACCAAAATCTCTAGCCATCGGTTACGATAATTATGCGAATCCCGACCAAGCAGTCTACACCTATTAACATGGCTCAGCCCAATTGCCAATGACGTCATAGACTGATGAGACGTTTTGGTTTGTCCACTCTTAGCTTTATTTCAGTCTGCTCCCATCGAAGTAGGGAGTGATTAGGCATACGTCACACATCCAAACTGCCTCATTTGGTGAAAATTTAATACCTCATCAATCGATTTCCCATATTTACCTAGTGCTCCATTCCTAAATCAGGCATTACTTACTCCGCGGTCCTAAAACGCACGAGCAACGCTTCGTAGACTCCAAAAGCGTGTCTATAACAAAGTCAGGTAAAAAAGGGGAAAGCGGACAACCTTGACGAATACCACTTGAAGTTACAAATTCCGACAACAGTTCTTCATAAGCTGTGACTTGACCAGAATTTTATAATCAGATAGCCTGTACAAGGTTGATGTACTTCTTTGGGACCTCTATCAATGACAAACACTGCCAGAAGACTTTACGATCAACAGAGTCGAACTCTGTCCTAAGGTCAAGGACTACAATAATTGTAGGACTTCCAAAAGTATGTCTATGTTTCAGGATCTGTTGAAGGGTGAATATTTGGTCTACACATTCACAACCAGGTCTGAAACCAACCTGGTTTTCCCTAATTTTCTCTTCACGAGCCCTAATTAAACTTCGTAGTATTATATTCGTTAAACTGGTTCCTCTGTGATTTCCACAATGGGAATTTTGTCCTCATAAACTAGGAGGATCTGCGATCGTGACAGGTCAGATGGGACTACATCCAGTTCCCAGATTTTAACTAAGACTCAGTTAACCTAACTGCCAAAACTGGACCATCAACCTGAAAAATCTCAGGGGTTAGTACATCAGTCCATTCTGCTCCCCCTCTCCTTAGATTGCTTGTAGCATTGTCAGTTAGGTTACTTGGAGATAATGAGTAACTGAAGTGTGACTGAAAGCCTGTTGAACTGTTACCCAAAGTGTTCTGCCCATCGGTTCAGTCTCCTAGATTGAAAGTGAATAATGGCCTCATCTTTCTCGAAGATAGTTTCATTAACAGCTGAATTTTTAATACCCGTTTCTTTGATAAGTCTGAAGAGTTGTCTACTGTTACCTATCGGTGCTGTCTTTCCCATCACTTCTGTTTTCGCTTCAATCATTGCTCACAATCACTACATACTCCTCATCGTGTTCAGAGCCAGATGGGATGAGTTTCCGAGCATCTATCAATTCTGTAGATATCATTGAAATCCACTGGTTTTTCCTAATCTTTTGGTTTAATTTACTAGTAGATATCACTGCTGTTCCCGTACCTTTTTAAACAGATCAAGCCACCTTAGAGTGGATATCATTTTCGTGGTTGATTAACTCCTCTAGTTGTCCCTAAAATACGTTCTTAAATTTTTCATCATTAAGTTGGAATCGAAGAGGTTTTGTTGCTGTGGCTTTTCTACGTCCGGTAAGGCGCAGACAAATACATACACGATCCGAGTCTAAATATGTGCTCCAGAATGAGCGACAGTCTTCAATCGCACCCCTCCGACGTTGACTTGTAGTAATGTGGTCTACTTCAGTTCATCGATTAGTTAATTGTGGAGGTCTCCACCCCAGACGATATTTTTCCTTATATTTCAAGTTGGTTTTTACCAGGAATAGATAGTTATCTAAACATAACTGCAACAGACGGTCGCCATTATCTGTTCACTGAACCACAACAGAAGCAGTCCTAGTGGCAACTGGACTGAAATAACGATGGTGTTTCTAAGAGACAACGGTTTATTTAATGTATTGATTTCATATTTTACAAATGTAGGGGTATGATTTTGCATAATATAACAAATTGGTTTACTCTAACCAAAGTTTCGTTCATTACAATTTAACTGTCGTAAGCACTTTTCTCCAAATTATTACTTATTTTCTCCAAAATGATTAATTAAATTTTTCTTTAACGCTCTCTTCACTAGATATTAACTGATTCTAAAAGACGTAAAAATGCCATGGATCCATTGAATGTTTGCTCATCGTTATTTCCAATTAATACAAATTCTATTAATTGTAATGAAAATAACCCATTAACTGCTACCACTACTACTAATATCACAGCGACAGCACCAACAACATCATCTTCGTTACTGCCTCATTCTTCTGTATCTATGGAAATATGTGATCTTATTGAAAATCTATTAAATAATCTTCTAGGTGGTGTCGATAACTGTGGTGGTGGTCAATCAGACTTAAAACATAAATTGAATGATTTATTGACAATATTTCAAAAACTTCAGTTGGATAATAAAGAATTTACTTGTTTGAAATTTATTGTTTTGTTTAATCCTTTAAAACATGGTAAGTGTGTTTTTATTCCAAGATTTCTTTCTGATTAATTATTCTTTCTCTCTTGTTTGATAATGAAGCATCCGCTCATAACCAACTCTACTAATTCGATTTGATTAGTTAAGTAGTATCAATAGTATAGCTCGTTGTTTTTCATAATCTCCAAAGCTCATTACCTAGTGTTATTTTCAATTATAGTCTCGGTAGATTTTTCAATTTCATGACTATGAATATCATTTCATTTATAATGATAGTGATTATTGAGTTTTGATAAGTTTCAAGCTGATTGACAGAAAGCAGCTACAATTTGTTCGATTAAATAAACGTTACCTAGAAAGTTAAATACTGATATTTCAATTAATGTAGTTAGAATAACATATTAATGATTCACTACTGAATAAGTGAAATAGCCCATTATCAATTTTAGTGCAGTTTAATAAATGTTCAGTGTATCTAGAATAATAACAATCTTGCAACTGTTAACGGTGTGACTTTATAACACTTGAAATAGTTTAATGATGTCATAAAATAGTTTATCCGAGTATTTCTAATGAGTAATAGTTAAAAATAACTTTTATCGGTAGTGGTATCTAGCTTCACGAATGTTCCCATTACATATAATCACTAGAAAGTGAGTGATTTTGTTAATGATTTCGCTGAGTTGACTGTTTAATTCGATTCACTTAATTGGTATATTTTGTTATTTTAAAAATGGCTAAAACTACTCGAAGCTTCTTTAATACACGTACATTACAACGTATGACATTTATTTCTCGTGTCTTGAATCAATAGCTCAGTTCGGAACCATTATATCCCGATTCCGATTTGACGTAAAATCACAGGTAGTCTGTTTATCTGTTTCCTCATAGTCTTTATTAGACTGACTACTTGATATCATCTTCAGTTTTATGCAGAGATTTCAGTTTCTGTTCTTCGATTTATGATACTTGTACTGACCTATTGTTCAAATACTCGGACTATTCATCAACTTTAAACACACAACTTCATATATTTCTCCTATAAAATTGCTTAATCCATTTATTGCATTTCTTTTAAATCACCTTTATTATCTTAAATTTGAGTAAATGTTAAATATCCTTTTAGTGTTCTTAACTAGAATATATTAATAATACTTAAAGCTAGTTCACGTTTTTTTGTTTTATGTTCGTCCAGTCAGCTCATGAATAGTCCGTACCCTATATAAGTTTTTTTTCTCTTCAAAGCCCCATCATTTTGTAGCAGTCTAGTATCCTTGTCATATAAATATTTGATAAATATCTGTAGAATATCTAGTCTGATTTGAAGTTACTTTTTTTCACTAACATAAGCTTCTTTAATATCCACGCGCTAATAATAATAATAATAATAATAATAATAATAATAATAATAATAATAATAATAATAATAACGTGTGTATATGTGTGTGCACTGTCGAATAAAGTAAAAACAAATGACCTTAGGAATATCTTACCGATAGTTTAGCAAGTTGACCTTAAAACAGTTGAGAATAGGACTAAAGTAATTTGCTATGATTGTTATTATTTACTATCTTGTTTATTATCATTACGTTTTTTGAAAATTAAATTAGAGTACAATACGATTGTGGCTGTTTGTCTTTCTTTTGTTGTTGTCAGTGTTATTTAAGTCGAAAAATAATAGTTTTGTCTTATTTCCAATTCTAGTGTGAACTTAATCGACAAGGTACAATTATTTAATACTTGTAAGATAATATTGAGATTACTATTATTATTCAATACTGTTTTTATATTTGTGATAAGCACATAGAAAGCATGTTATCTCTCTTATTATTTTTTTCAGATACCTTTCTAACATCAAACTTAAGTTATGCCTTGAAAATTCAGGGAAAATTTTGTCATTTCTTATTGAAACGTTCACGAAGATTTCTACGTTTAATAAATGAATCCAGTGAATCTCAAAAACTAGATCATGAATCACCAAATGAATTGAATACTCTTCTTCTACCAGACAGATATGGTCAAATTTTGTTAGAATTAGCAGAAGTTAAATTTCTTGCTTTCCAGTTAGAAAGTTTTTTACTAATGCGATATAGACTTGGTAAAATACCAAATGAAAGTTTATTAAGTGAAATGTTGTTAACAAAACGTAGTCGAGTATCACTTCCTGTACAACCATCTTATTGTAATCTGATGACATCGTCAATGAAATCACCACCATCAATAACATCATCTTATGTAATACCAACATGTCAGTTTGCATATACCAATGTTAACTCAAAAGTCATTCCCATACCATCATTATCTACGGATGCTGATTATCGATCAAATGATGAAGTGATAAAACATAATCAAGCTTCTTCATTATGTACAAATAATCTGAATAATGGTACTACAATGATGGTAAATGCTACAGGAAGCTTATCTACTACACCATTTACTTCTCCTATTCCTTCAACTTTCCCACTTACTTCTCTTCATTCGCCCACTTCTATTCCTCAATTCAGCAATAGAAATAACAATTGTAATAATAATGACGCATCATTATTGAAAAACATTGATTCACAGTTGTCTTGTACAGCATTTCTTAATTCTTATACTAATTCTCCGTTATATACTCCAACTACTACAAATCAACTGGTTTATAATCATTGTTTTATTAACAATGATGACCATGTTATTACTGCAAATAGTATTAACAGATTTAATGAACAACTACACGAGTCCTTATCAACAGTGACAACAATGCCGGCGACAACAACAACAACACTCGTAAATCATGCCTCAATATTGTCATGAAAAGCATTTATTCTTTTTTTCTACTTCTCCTTGCTCGTCTATTTGTTGCTTTATTTGTAATCTTATATTCTTGTCTATTTGGGAAGGGAAAGAGAACTACAAGTAAGGCAGGAAGGACTGTTATCGTCTTTCCATCTGACATCATGTTAACTCCACTTACATAACTTGTGTTTGAAGAATTCTGTTTTCAATGTTTCTAATCTGAATAGAAATAGATCTATAGTTTCTCTTTAACATGTATATGTTAGTGTGTACTCTGTGTACAGATGAACAAAGAAAATGAAAACTTGAAGAAATTTGAATTTCATGATGGTGATGGTTATGACAAGTGAGATTGAAATTGAAAAACCACAATAATACTGCATTATTGTTGCTTTCTTTGTTGTTATAATACTTTCTGTAACCAGCTGTGTTTATATTGTATTCGTATGTACTAGGCTGTGAATTAAATATTTTACACATTTACCTCCAATAATAGGATTATTATTTGGTATCTACGACTATACAAGTAGGAAGCGATACATTTAATTACTTTACCACTATTGCACAGACATACAGAAATAAATACAATCAAAAATACTAATCTACCTCATATTCCCATCTACAAAGAAAGACTCAACTTAGATCCTTCATCCTCTTCACCGTATAATATTTCGTCAACTTAAAGATAAACAGTGTGTATTTCACTTATCTATACATATATTCACTAATAGGCACATATCTGCTCATTACGCACATACATGCAGTTGCTATCAGGCCTAGTATTTTCTAATTCAACACAAATAAACGTAGATCAGTGTATGAGTGCATTTCAACAGGAGTATTTTTGAGTATTTTTCCCTCTTCTTCTTCTTTCTGTCTTCCGAATTATTCTTCCTATTTTAAGCCTTTTTACAACTGAGCTCAGGTTCATTTAGTTTTTTTTTGCCCTTTTTTGTAGAATAAATTACACTAAACAACAATACCAATGAAATGAGAACATTTTCCATATGTATGGAAAGGTTATTATTGTTCCTGTCACCGTTATTGTTGCATTTAGAATCAAATTATGCGTGTGTATGCGATTTCTCCCTAATTTTGTACTACTCTCATTTCATTTTAGTCTTCTAATTTTCGTTTAATATATCGTATGTTGTGTTTATATTCATTCAAGTGTTAATAGTGTATATGTGTTGATATTGATCTAATATATATATTTTGGTACTCATCTTTTGTCGTCATCATCACCATCATTGTTGTTGTTGTTGTTATCTCACTGAGACAAAAAAACATCGCTTCAGTTCCTCCTCCAACATTATCTTTCCAACTTCCCTATTCGTCTACTTATTATTTCCATCTTTTTTCATCCTTCTTTTATATGAGAAACTGTACAAGACAATCATTATCAACCATCAGGATTTTTGTTTTTTTTCATCGAGGAAACCAAACATTTTCATAATACTTTTGTCAAGTGTTATCTTGTCTGTAGTCGATTAAAGAAATAAATCAACTTGTAAGATGTAGTGAATAATGTTTTTTGTGAAGAGTTTCATTAGTAGTTTTTTTTCAATCATACTATTTTGATTATGTACAGAGGTATTTCGTCTTTATTTTCTTTTGATCTGTCTACAATTAATTTTTAAATAGATGAATATAATAATTGTATGTCTATGATGTATTGCCTTTATCACTTTCCTACCGGCTGCCAATCTCACGTCATTTCTACTTTTCTTCCGTTAATCTACCTCGAATATTTATATATTCTAATGTAATTATACCGTTAGTATGTAGATATTTTTTAGCTGTACTCCTTTTTTTTATAAACATATATATTAGTTATAGAAAATTTACCAAGAAATGCTCATTCTTCGGCTAGCATCAACTATCATCAGTCTTTTCTGTAGACAGATCGTCGCTCAATTTCTCTTATTTATACATTGTATTTAGCCAGTTAATCAATCTAGGACAGGATTTTTCTCCTCTTTATCCCAATGTCTTCTCTTCTGTTTTTGTGTGTTTAAGATATTTTGCTTTTTTCACATACCTCTACACAGTGTACACTATGTGTAAATATATTGCGTAGTTTTGTGTACAAATTATTTTCTTTGTTTGTGCGTGTATATCTTGGGTGCATTTTTTGAAACAGGCTAATAAGTATATATATATTCACGTTCACACTCAGGAGTAATCAAGTCTACCTCGGAATTTTGTCGGTATTATGCAATAGGTTTCTGGTAGTAATAATGTTAATAATAGGTGAGAAGAATAGAAATTCAAGCCTTGTTAATCTTTTGTTTGTCCGACTATTTATTTTTCCCTTCATTTCACACACACACACCTTTCTTCACTTTGTTCATCTCACGACATAGGAGTAAAAGGTCATGTATTAAAGAAAATCATTGAAAACTGTTTATTTTACTCAGTTAAAATATTTCAACTTTTGTTTAATTAGTACGTAACTGAAATGTTGACAAACACTACAATTAGAATTACCACCTAAAGGACTAATTGTACGAAGCAAACAATTCTATTGTTTCTTTTTCTCATATTTCCCTTTCTTATAAATTTATTGAACCTGGATTGCATTGTTTCCTTAGTAGTCCAATTGCTCTTACCTCCTCCTTCAACTCTCCTTTGTGTACTTATACTTTTTCCCTCATTGTTTATTAGGTAAAAGTGTGCGTAAACATTGGACTGAAGAGACCACGCCTCTTTTGTTTTATTCCTCCTGCTTTATCTTTCTTGTCATCTGTTTCTCTCATCTTTAACATATGTATACTTTTTGTTCAGGCAGCTATACACGTTATACACTTATCTATCTATTGTTAAAAAAGAATTCGACTTTTATAATAGCGATGGTGATTACCATACTCATGTTAAGATAATCTGAGGTAGGCAAGTTAACTCTTCATTTTATCTTTCATATCGTAACTCTTTCCCGCATTCTCTTTCTTTTGTTGCGGTGGTTGCCACATTCTCTTTTCCTGTTCAACCCCCTCTCAGTGTTGCTTGTTTGTGTTATTTAATATTTCTTTTTACTGTTATCATAACTATCACTACTACTAGTATTATTATTATTATTATAAATGACTGAAGAAAAACGAAAAAATAAAATGAATTTTGTGAATAAATTTATCGCTTTGATTTCTTGAAGAAAGTACTGAACTCCCTGATATGTACATAGTTCTATGCATGTTTTTGTTTGTGTAAGTGATCATTCTTCCGAAAGAATCCATGATTAAAATTACTGAAACATTTGATATGACTGATGTAGTAAATTTCTTTGGGGTTGTTATTTCCACCAGTAACCAACTAATTGAATATATGCTAATTAATTCAAATTCTTAGTTATGCAAACTATATAATCAACAATTTCAGGTCGGTGATTATCTGAACTCTGTAGCTAAGTAAAGAATGCGTCGAAGTTTTGGGGCAAATGGTACTGGGTCTGAGTTCAGTTATCAGAATGACTGTAGATACATCTAACTGACGAATTCCACTTGAAACGAAACCCGTGACCTGGATTTCGCTACTAACCACTATCAGAACTATTCAACCAGTATATTACAATTTGTTGCATGTAAAAGCGATTAGCCAGTGACTTTTTACTTTTGCTCATCATAGATTTTTATATTGTCAGAGTATCCGTTGATCATGATTGCGATATTTGGTTTGAGGCTATAGTTCAAAAACTTCACATGGAACATCACGTATGAACCTCGTGTTGGTCATCGGCTACCATGGGTCTACATCTGACGTTGCTCCAATGCTTTGTGGATCAGACCTTTAGGTCGAAGGGTCCGAGTGTGGCCCTCTAAGAAAACCACCTGCTTCGATCTGGGAACCCGGACAATATTGCAGCCCACACACAAATCAAGTGACTTCTGTGGCGCATATGTATTCGGTGCCCCTTTGTTTATGTGTTTAAACAAACAAATGATAAATGATCTCAAAAGGGAAGTAATTTGTGAAGATCATTAATGCTCAGGTACATAGGTCTATAACTGACCCTGTGAAAATTTGTGTACATCTACGAATTTGGTCACAGATGTCTTTGAAGTTTTATTCGCATAATTTCGGACCACTTGGAGTTGAACTCAACTTACTAACCAAAAACGGTAAGGTGGTTAGTAATGTTGTGAATCTTTGTCGATGGAGGTGATTAGAATTTATATTGCTTACACCTGACCACTGCCTACCTCTACGCATGATATTTAATGGTCTAGGAGTAAATTGGAAGAAAGTTAAGCGCTCTCAAACCATGATATATTATAGTTCATGAAGTCACTGACTTTTGAGTTGAACTATGCTGCTAGATGGGGGCTATGTGGTTATGGTTCATGTAGTTATCGTAAAATTCAGATGTTTGGTGACTTAGCTAAGCATCAGTGATGCAGATATATTCACTCTTGATCTTCCCTTAGATTCTGAGTTCTAGGATTATGTTATACGTTTTATTCCACAAACCAATTCTTTTTTCAAGTTATATACTCTAATTCTAATACTTTTGGACTATCACTTATACTACAACCACTTCGGTATTCACCTCCATAATGTGATTCCGTTGTGGTAATATGGTGTGGCAATTTCCATCCATGCCAGGCTTTATGTTTATTATGACTGACTGGTCATCCGATTCATTTATTTAAACACATAAACATTGGTACAAGGAGGCTTCAAATCTATATGCGCCACACCTCCTTCGATTTTTGTAAGGGATGTGATATTGTCCGGGTGCTTTTTTGTCATGTATACTGTGAGCAATTACTTAGACACAAAGTTGACTGAATACGTAGAACATATTAAAAATCTCATGAATTTCCAAAACTTAAAGTATATTGGACTGGTTCGATAATATCTTTTTGTTCGTCTCTAAATGCATATTTGTTACTCTAACTTCTCTCTTCTTATCATCACTACGATATATTCGTTTTCTATCGAAATTAATCATCTGAGGCCTAAATAAATAGTCCTGTTGTGTTTAATCTGCATGTCATGAGGTAATGACGTCATTCACGTTTATAATGTGAGTCTAACTTCATTCTTTAATCCACATTAGATTAATCGGCTATGTTAGAAAAATACCTATTATTGGCACTACTAACAACTGAATCATTACTGTTAAAACCTACACTGAATACATAATCTTCATAAAGTAGTTCATAATAACCTACTTGTATTCATACTGGTTGTGATATTTGTACTATCTTACTAATCTGTACAGCTTTATGAAATGTACCCTGATCAAGTGATACTGTCTTGATTCTCCTTTTTTGTTCGTATGATTACTATCAATATTTAGGACACGAAGATCGATTGTTTCATTTCGATCGTTTTTTAGAAATTCTCAACATAGAAATAAAGTGCTGCTCCGTAAATATTAAGTTTTTAGTATATTAGTCATACTGTTAACTCTTTCAAAAAACTTGAGTAATAAAAATCAATCAGGACATTAGCTACTCCCTAATTATCGGCCCGGACAATCATAAACAAATTAGGACCTGGTACAAATGTCCATTTTTTCAAGTTTCCTCAACAGCAGCGTAGTGATATGAAATTGATAAAATGACTTCCAAAGTTGTGGTAGTAGTAGTATAAGCGATTGTACAGAAAATATTAAAATGAGAGGATGTGATCCTATAAAATGATACTGAGTTTTCATCTGATGGTAGACAAAGGAAAATTATGTCTGCACCCCTCCGAGCATAGGACTCATTAGTAGTGCAATCCATAGCTCTACCTGGGATCGAACCCAGGAATTTAAGGTCTCGTGGCGAGACATTAAACTTTCAAACTACTGAGTTGGAATCCAACAGTTTGCGTCTCTAACTCCAGTCAACTAGCGACATTCTGAGATCACTCTCCATTACCAATGGTGATATTTGTTGCATACTTAATATGATTGAATTCCACTGCTTATTACTACTTTATAGGACTCCAAGAATTAGCTCTCGAAGTTGATCCCTAGTAAGCATAATCAACAATATATTTTGATTGTGGTTTTTCTTCATTATTAGTGACCATTATGATTAGTTAGTTTTCATTTTTCGTTTTATAAATCACAGAAACATGTATAACTGTTCAAATCTGGAAACTTTATTTCAAAATAAAGAAGAACTAAAATCAATTATTATGAAACTAGTTCGTTCTGGTGATATTTCCAAATTAAAAATGTTATTTCAATTAGTCAGTGCAAATGATTCTTCTTGTACGAATCAATGGTGTTCAAGTAAACTTGCGGAGATTAAAGATAATAAACAGCGTAATTTAATACATATTGCTTGTAAATATGGGCATAAAGAAATGATTGTGTAAGTTTCATTCGTATTTCCACTTGTTTTTTTTCTTTTATCCTTTCCTTCAAGATCAGTTAATTACGTCATTGACTGCTGAACTGATGTATGTTGACATATACACACTATTTGGTTAGGTTTTAAATGATAACGCCAATAAATAATTGGAGATGTTGAGTTGCATAGCTTAGATGCATCTACTCTTTACCTTATTTCTTTATGCATACCTTTTCATCCTGTCTTTTCTGACTATATTGTAAATGTACAATCTTTTTCGTTATCATTCCTACTACATTGTTTCGAACCCCCTCACCATTCATTTTGTTTATTTTATCTCGTTGTGCTGATTGGGTATGGTAATTCGAGCCAACGCATATGTGTGCTAGGCTCTTCATTAGTTATGACTAACTAAATGGGAATCTGTACACTCTAAGGAAATCCAGTTGGAATTTAGAAAGTAAATAATTGATGACTTTGAATAAATATCATCCTGTACATTATAAATCGGTCGAATTTAAGTATGTGGAGTATTGGATTGCGTGTCAGCGGTTTATAAAAGCATAATCTTCGATGAAAAAGCCGAGAGTTTTAGGTTCTTCCCATAGTGAAGTTGTAGATATAAAATGTTGCTGAATAATACGAAAATGAAATAACTCTTCGGAAGTGCTTAATTTTCAATCTTTCGCCTACTGGTATCAGTTATTGATGGAAATTACCATCAGGCCAAAATAAGATCTTTTCTCAGTCGTTTCTGTAAATTATCTTTGTGTATATTAAAATTTAATATTTTTATTTGTTTGTATTCAATTCCTCGTTTATTCCCCTCTCATTTCGATGTATTTCTTTACACTAGTTAATATTCAGTAACCAGTTGTATTTCTAATAATGCCTGAGAATGCTGTAACGTCAGTTTGAGTAGTATTTTTCAGTATTTTCATAAACTAGTCCCATTAACTTCATTTATTATTGTAATTGCATTTCACTGACTTTTCTAACAGTCACTTTCAGTTTTTTTCATATTTTTCATATTAAAATCGATTCTGTGTTTCTGCCTTCAGTTTCCGTTCAATTGTTGATAGTCAATGTTGACTTAAGACACAGCTGTCGGTAACAATATTGTGTGTTGTAATTAACTTTTATGTAATTGTTGCTGGAAGCTCTTTCTATTCCATGGATACGACCGCTTTGTTCGCCACAGATACTTCTTAAGTTAATATTTTTAACTAATTTACATGTATTTTGTAATAATACTGCGTAAAATCCATTCAGTAATTCATAATTCAAAATCCATTAACTTATATGATAATTGTGCTAAAAACGTATTAATACGAGATTTGAACTAAATATTGTTGCAACTTGCTAGGTTTGAAGCGGTTACGAGTTCACTTAGACTGCGAACGGAACAAAGGCTTGTAGCCAAAGACCAATAAACTATCTATTCTATTGCATCCCAGCCCCGCTAACTAGAGAGAGAAGTCGAAGTCCGAACGGGGAAATATATTCCGCAAAAATCCAGAAGCACGAGCGATAACAAAAGACACAAACCAAAACGTATATATACAGCACAAAACCGTCCTTGGAAAGGGTTACAAAACAGTATAATAAAAGACACAACGGACCAATAGCGTTTAAGATTCTTCCAAGTGGGAAATACGACATGAAAGTGAAAAGAGCGCGAAAACAATGAAATTCAAAATTTCTAAATAAATTACAAAATTCGGTCCTTTTTCAAGTGAGTCCTGGGGACCTAACGTCCCCAACACAACTATTATGAATCATTGCAGCTGTGAATTTTATAAAGTCAACATTCAAGTTTTCGGTGGAGTCTCGTTCTCTCAGCTGGATGGTTTGATCGTAGAACTCCCATTGTTCTTCCGAACAAAATCAGCATAAACTTCAGGTAGAAGTGAAATATTCTGATTTCACAGCTTGTCCTGTCGACCTTGATCTTGATTGGCTACTTTTGACCTTTAACCTGTCATTATCTACCTCTTCATTTTGGTTGTCCCACCCTTTTATCTGATTCTTAGTCCTATATTTGTCTATGAATTTCTTGATTAGTTCGATTTCGATGTGTGCATCCAATACCGATTTACCTGAGTTCCAAGCTTCTAAAAATTTCTTGGTGTTCTTAGTCTTTCCTCTACTTAAGATTTCAAAAATTTTCCAGTCGAATGTGTGTCTACAGTGTCCACATGCATTGGTATATCATGGCATTTGACTGCTAATTGATGTTAATGTGGGCGAGGATAAAGAAGTTGTTCACTTTAAAATTCCCTGTCTACTTTCAAATTTTCATAATGGTAGGTAGGTCCTTTCAATAAATTCAAATTCTAACTTATATTACATTTTACTACTAGCCACCATCCTCCATTTTCGCAGATCAAAAATGAATGTTGTTTCCTCCAATCCCTTCCGTAAGGTCCTCCTAGTTATCACTCCTCTTATCTTTTTCTCCCTGTTTTCATCATATAGGTATCTTGTTCACAATTTACATTTATCAGTTACAAAAGTTGATCAATCTGGAAATAATCCTGGACATATTCTACTAATCCATGCCCTTAAATCAATTAAAGGAAGTTATAGAAAGAAAAGACGACGGAGTTCCAAATGTACCATAAGGAATTATATTGATTGTAGGTCAAAGATGAATTCTCAATTGAGTTATCGAGTTTTTTCTCAAGCTTTATTTCTATTCGCAGTTTCAATTATTACACTTGCTAATTTTCTGAAATTATAGTTGTTCAATTTTTAGTCAACATTTTAAAGTAGGTTAATCTTTAATATACATACACACGTACACATGACGTTATACTAACACTTAACTTTAATTTGTAATTAAAAGGAGAATTTCATGCCAAACGATTAAGTGGTAGTAGTTGACTAGAATTTCCTTCCTATAACCATTTGATTGAAAACAGACAACGATCAAATTATCTGTAGTAAGTTTTGTTGGATCGATGCATATTTGTGCCTTGGTCCTATGTTCATTATAACTGACTGGTCTCAATAACGAATGACCCTGAATATAAGAAATTTGATCACGCAGAATGATCACATCGCCATTTGTCATTATCACTGAATGGAATGGATGGGAGACTTTTGTAGAACGTGTTTGAAATTTGGTGACGCGTTGATTTCCTGCTTGTGTATGTGCTTAATTGAACTCAAAATGGTCTCTCTATGTTCATTTTGGAATGGAATATCATTCTTATTATTATTTTACGTCTATATAAGCACAAAAGCTTGATACAACAATCCACCAATTAATTTACTCATACCAAACGTGTTTCTATTGGTGTTTCTTTTGGTTTATAAGGTAGGATCAAAATTTCTTGATGATAAACACAACAAAATCAGTTTAACTAATATTGGTTTGTAAAATCCCATTGTTCATACTTGTTTAACACATAAACGGAGGCAAGAGGCTTACCACCATGGATTGTAATTGCAGTATAAAACAGCTAGTAGATATTTATGAATAACACCTTTCACATCTCGTCCTCTTTTGATAAAAATCATCAAATGAAGTTACTCGTAAGATATTGATTAAGAGAAATACATTTATTTCATGAGTTTGTCAAGATGCACTCAACAGGATATTATGCAACATATTCTTACCGTCCTCAATCGATTTATTTAATGTTTTACGTTGAGGCTAGTATAGTTTTACGGTTGGTGTAACAACAGTCGATAATGTTTTTAACTCGCACTTTTTGCCAGTTACCTCAGTCTTCAGTAGAAAGAACAGAAAGTCTGTTGACCTGTGTTAACCCTTGTAATGAACGAGAACACAAGTGGGGACAACCAGATATTTTCCAACACAGAATTATAGAATCTTAGTAAAATCTGATAACCATACAGTAAATTCTTCATGTAAAAAATGTCAATCAATCGTCTCAGGCTTCATTGTTACTTCGTTTCCACACCAATCATTCTCTGTGCTCATTCTCTTACATTCGGTCTTCCTAACCTTCTGCCTCCAGAAATTTCACTTTTGATTGATGATACATACTACTTATATCTGTCGATATCAATAGCATACTGTACACCCTTACCGTATGTTTTCCGGTGAAAGTCCAGTTTATTTTTGAAAGCATTCGTCGATAGACCTGATGCCACATGTTGGTGTAGGGTGTGATATTTATGAAATATTGAAGTTTATATAAAAGGCTAATTTTAGTTTTCTCAGTAACACCAAACTGGACGTCATAGTGTTTTTCAACATTGACTGATTTCGACTTCTTTTTTAAAACGACCATACCAAATGTTCGTTATTAGTTTTATACAGATCCTGGTCACTAAAAAACTTGGGTTTTGTTTATTTGTTAGTCAACAAATTGTTCTAATCTTGAACGTGTCCATGTATTCATTAATTTAATTTTGATATCAACAGCACTAATATGCTTATAGTCTCTCTGTTTCGTAAACTCCCTAATATTTTGATAATATATATTACACACTGATCTTTGTTAACCGGTAGACCAAAAAGCACTAGACATTTGTTTCGTCTTAGTATGTAACTCCTCATCAGTGAACATCACCAATCCCACCGGGAATCAAGCTCAAAACCTTCGGTATAGTATTTATTTAGTTGACCTTTTATTTAATTTTATATGAAATATCATAACATGAGCATCTATGGCCGGATAGTTTAACATGGATTGCATAGAGATATCAGAGTTTTCAAATCAACCTTGTCCCCTCTTTACACTACTCAGATAATATTATTGGCAGTATTTATACTGTCTTTTAATTACTGTTTTAATGATCTCATTTCTCCTTACAGGTTGTGAATTATTAAAAATTGTTTTACATAAACACTCGAATCTTCTCACTATCTCAAATAAACGAGGACTAAAAGTGATCGATTTATTGCAGGAATTATGGAATTATTCATCAAAAACGGAACGAGAAATCGGTGATAATGTAAGCTATTCATTATTATGCCGTTTTGATAGAACTGATTGCTACTCACGAGGTTCAAACCATGCACCACCCCGTGTTGCAGATATTACTAACTAAGCTGTTTGGGTCGCCAATGACATTCTATAGGGACAAAATATTCAAACTGACAGATTACTGATAAGCAAACAATGGCATAGGTATTATTACCAAGGTTTGACTTGATAATTTCAAATAAATTGAACATTAGGTAGGTTGTTATAAATAAATTGATATATTTGTAATATCCCAATGAGTAGAAAAATTAGATTTTATGGCGTTTCGTGACTCATTGTAAGCCACTTCTTCAGAGAACAAACAATCAAGTTTAAGTAGTACAAAGGAACAACGCAAGAATATTTTGTGTGACCAATCAATAAAAGGTCTGAACAAGTCAATGTCGTGTCAAGGTGATTTATAAGCGACATGTATGTGAATTTGTGTGTGCGTGTATGTGTGCAAGATTAGGGATGAAAAAAATGTGACTTTTGTGGTGAGAATGGATAGAGTTAAATTCGTATGTAATATAATAATGTAAAATGTGAATAATATCAGACATGGTAGCTAGGACAGATAGTCCAAGTCGGATGTTTAGTGAGGCCTTATTTTCTATTGAGAGCAGTAGGATTAAGCATCATATGGAAAGCTTCAGCTACTCTCCTTTCTTTGTAGTTGGAAAAACCCTTTTGTAATATTTTGATGTTTTTGAAATCGATTTGGTGGTTAATGAAAATTGTGTGAACTGACATTGCCGATTTAATTTGAAGTCTATCCGGTTCTACAGGACTATTATATGGTTTTTTCGCGTACCTAATAAGTTCTTTGGCTCGAGTCAAGATTTCGCAGAATGACTCTCCAATATAGAAGGCATCACAATCGACACGTCCTAATTTGTAGACACAGTTCTGTGTTGACATGAATGGGAGCTTATCATTTAAGTGAACTAAAGGGTGTTCATTGTTTTGTAATATACTTTAATTCTGTGTTGTTTTAAAATTCTTTGGAGCTCTTCTGTTGTACCATGACGGTGTGGTAAAACAGCAGTACCAATCCATGGTATTTCATTAGAATTATTATTAAGCACTGAAACATCTTATTTTAGTACACTTCTAATAATCTTCATAGAAAAATTAACAAATCGTTAGATGTTATTTACATGCTTTTGTTCTTTTTGTTTATCCTCTTCCGATGTGACAATCTTGTTAGCTCTTCTAAAAAGACTTAGGGATAGCTCGATCCTTGCACTGAATGGATGTGCTGAATTGAAGTCAATATAATTATTCGAGTGCGTAGGTTTTCGTTAGATGGATGGATTCAGAATCTCATTTAGATTTTTTTTCACTAAGCAACCTAAAAATGTTAGCTCACCACGTTCATTTTCATCCTCGTCCGTAAATCTGATGCGAGATGAAAGTGTACTGATGCGTTCCGAAAAAGATCTTAGATGAGTCTTTTTTATGGCAATAAAGGTATCAACTATATGTCTAAGCCAGATTCGTGGTTTAATGTCATTGGCGCATGATCATGTATCGATTGAAGTTAGACATTAACCCCATCGGACATCGATTCAGTGGTCTGGGGTTTAAGCGTTTGCGTGTGGAACCGGAGGTCCTGGGTTTGAGTCCTAGGGTCGTGGGTGTGCACGGCTGAGAAGTCCCACATTGGGGTGAAACGGCCGTCCAGTGGTTCCAGGCTTTCAATGGTGGCCTAGTTTATATCGCCTCGTAAATTCATAATTCATTTATATTTTAGACGAATAATACAACATAGTTTTATTTAGTTTCATGGTATCAATAATTTTTCACGTTCTATGGTATAGAATGCATACTTCATATCACCTGTACGATACATTACATACTTGGGTGTAATATCACTTAAGATACACTTAGCTTATAATCGAGATAAAATTTGTTTAATTCTTTGAGCTACGTTAATGTAGTCTATTGTGCTATCCTTTTTGGTGATTAATTGCCTAATTGTGAAACATGATTCAATTCTTATCTAACATCATTGGTGAGTTACTATCTAACTGCTAAATCAGGTGACCTAACATGTTACGATTTTCCCATTAAACCTTTGCGAAATATATTTTGAACCTAGTTTCTAGGTATTACCTGGTTACTATTATAATTATTTCGTTATGTCAACTGCCTTTAAGTTAGATACAAATTTCCCGCAAAATCAACCTTTTAGGTTGTGTAACTGATTTGTGAATTTCTAGTACACTGAACCCTTGAGACATTGACTTCATAGCTGACTCCTGGACTCTTGTAGTCTTCGACGTTATCGAGAATGTTTTTATATGTTCACTAATTGTGTTGTAACCATCGCTTTCAGTCATGTTACTGTTCACTTGGTAGGTGAGTGCAGCACATTAGTGTAATTTTTGTAGAAGATTCAATTCCAAGAGGTTGTAGTGATCCACAGCTATCTGTTGTAAATATGTCACTGTAGCATAGGCCGAAACGGCATGTATAAAACACAAATATAGTAAAATTTATAGCTTAAATTGAGTTCGAATGAAAATTGTACTTTATAATATTCAGCACTCACTCAATAAACCACGTGAAAAAATGATCGAAAGTTCTGGTTAGCTCATACTCAGTGAATAAAGTTGCGGATACCTTCAGCTAGGACAACTTGGCTATAAATGAATTTTACTGAGTTTTTTTTTATTATTTTCTTTCAATTAGATTTTAAAATGTATTTTATCCGATGATAACAGCAACAGTAATACTTCGAATATCCACAATAATAATCATACAGCTTCGTCGTCGTCCTCATCACCATCACGCCTATTCAAAAAAACAGATTATAATGATAAAATGTGTTCATTTTTATCAGATTCAGATGAGGCAAACAATTCATCAAATGAATGGGAAGATTATTTCTCAGGTAATAAAATACCTCAACAAACGTTGTATTTTTAACACAGTGAAAGGTTAAGACTCTTTTGTTTGAGTAGAGCACTAACAAGTTCTACTGAGCTTAATTATTAGTTTATGATTAGAAAATGATTACCAATATATATTAATCAGTTCACTTTACACTTTCATCTGAAATGAAATATTACTTAGATATATAATAAATCTTCGATGAGCCAAATATCCGGAATCACTAAGCACTCTCTTCATGAAGGTATAAGCTAAGATAATGAAACACATATGCTTTATATTTACTTGCTATCTTAAAATCTAAATTACCAAGGTCTGATCTATAATTCGATGACTCTCTCTTATTCAAGTCACAACCTGATCAAATGCTAAACGGTCTTATTTCTTTCAAAGATTTTGTTCTGGTTATACAGTCTTTAAAATCGACAACATTCTTTCAACTAAGGGTTCAATGTTATAATAAGATATCATCTTTTCTGGTAGACATGTTTTACAATTTCATTAAGAAAATTATAAGGCGATTTGATATTTAGTTATGTCGATGTAAAAGACTTATTATTGAGGAGACTTATTCCAAATAACTTTTAATTTAACTAAAATCATTAACTAAAAATCTCTAGACTTAGCCAAAAGAGCTTTTGCTGTTACTCTGACGTTTTTTTCCTTCTCTGACTTTTTCTTTCGGAATTTTTTTGTTAATTACAAACCCCATTTTAGGTTATTCTGATAAACCATACAAATCCCATTTGGATAGTATCAGAGAGGAATTTGAATACCGTAATCGAACTACAGGTGTACCTCATAAACCACCAAAATGCCAGCAATCGGAAAAAAAAGAAAGTAAATACTCCGAATTCTATGGAAATTTTGAAGCGGCTGAAGAATTATCGGCTGCGAGATTGTTAAAACATAATTCAAGGCAGCATTTTGTCGAAAACTCTTATGAAACTTACCTAAAGAAATGGAAACAGTTTTTAAACTCAGATCAAAGTACTCTTCTAAATTACAAAGATATACCATGGCCCCCCTTCTGTACAGTAAACCAAATAAATTCATCAGAATCAACGCACATTGAGAGTATTTTGGAATTCGTTCAATATTCTAGTCAGTCATTACGTCAATTGCAAGTTGATTGGCATCCAGATAAATTTTCTGGACGTTTTGGAACACGTTTTAAATCAGAGTCTGTAAAAATAAATGTTATGAAACGTGTTGTAAGTATATCTCAACTTTTAAATAAAGCTACTGATTATTTACGCAAAAAAGATGAAGCTAAATAATCAAGAAAAATGTCATCGTTTGTTGTGATTTAATTTATTGCTTCATATATTTCCTTTCTCCAAGAGTATTATTCAAGACGAGATTTCGAGATGAAGAGAATAAGAATAATTTGACTAGAAGTAAGTTAATTATGACTCAAATAGGACTGTGGATGAAACAAAGCGCAGAATCTATGATTTTTTTAATCGTTCCATATGGTTCCTATTGATAATATACCACGATCTCTGTATTGTTGTTAGCTTCTGTAAACTTGGCTAACATGACATACGTAATAATGTATGTTCACTCTTATTGACTGACTAAGAATAAAAAATCATACTTTTGGAGGATGAATGCTAATATTCCAGCAAAACACTGATATTTTGATGATTATGTTTATATCTGTAAGTAATCACATTTACTGAGAGGATGTTGGTATTTGTTGACACTACAAGACATTTAAATTGAAACCATACGGATCTACCTTTATATTTAGATTTCGTAGTATCTATTAAAAGAAAAAAATGCAGTTTGATAGCGATACAGCAGCTGATTCTGTTTTTAAGCAGTCTTATCACATTTTGCGTGTTGAGCAAAACTTCTCGATTATCTTTTAGTAACTACAAATGTCAAATCTTATATTGTTCTTTTGAACCTAGTACTTTCTCCTTGTCTGAATTTTCCCAGGGGTCTTGGGACCACTTCGTTGTGTTACAACTAATGAATAGAAGTTTCGTGGTCTCCGTTTAACCACCACTTAATGTGGTTTAGATAAGAGCTATATCATACTCAGGTTGGCTCATAGTTTTATCTGCTAAAATATTTTGAACGACCGTTTGATTTGCTATTGTTTCTGTACCTTCTAGCATGAATTCCAAGTATTTGCGGTTACAGTTGCTTTCCAGAACAAAAGTTTTGTAAAAAGTATCTTTTATATATTGAGTCCCTTTTAGTGATAATTCTTGCTAGGTATTTTGTTGCGAACATTTCTAACCACTTTTTCATAGTCTGGAGTTATGATCCCCATATTGAGTTGCCTGTGTATAGCAAAAGCTGATCGTAAAATGTTGGGTACCATTTTATATGAGTCCTGGTGAGTCCTGTAAACTGTTTCTGGTCTTCCGTATCTTGGTAACTTAATTTCTTATACCTCTGAACATTCGACTGAGTTCTTAGGTAATGTACATCATGTTCGGTTTGGACGCAGCGCTATTGCTTTTTATGGTTGTTTGCTCTGGTGTTCATGAAGTTGTCCTATGAACATTCGTATTTTAACTCTTAGTTTTGTACTGTCTGACGATACGGGGGTTACCAATTTTTAGATCATTAAGCGGTACACAGTAAGTCTGGATTTGGACCAATGTTAAAGTCTCCTTCTAGGCTGACCATTTCTTCAAAAAGACCTAGTTCAAAAATTAAAGAAACGTAACTTCATGATGCTGTATTGCATCTACTATTTCTCCAACCCGTTAATTTCGTATCTTCCGCTTCCACTCAGTCACTAATAAATGCTTGACTTAGCAGCTGTGTCGTTTATAGTAAGGCTCCATCATCCCTGAGATTGTGAAATTTTCTTCAGCTGAAAGGAGCCTTACAATGTGTGTGGCGTGTGGTTTGGTTCCGATGATTATCCGATTCTTTCTAAATGAGAGATCGGTTTTCGTCTTGGAGCTTTATACGAGACATGCGATAATGTTTACCGTTTCGAAAGGGTATTAACAAAATTGAGGAGTTTTAAGGTGTCCAGAAATCGGTGAACATCTTCTTCAAAGATATGCTCTCTATGGCAGGTTATTTATTTATTTATTTGAAGACATAAACATTGGTACAAGGGGGCACTAAATAAATATGAACCACACAATAACAACGTGGTTATGAAGTGCTTGTAATAAAAAGAATAAAAACGAACAGAAATTAGTGTACGAGAATGAAATATTAATAATAATATGAGAAACAGCTCAAAGAATTCTTTCAGTTAGAAAAGTTACGTTCACTTGTATGAAAAGATTAACAGTTACTGAGTGATTGCCACTGGCTTCCATTCTGGGCCATTTCTGATAACATCTCTAGCCACTGTACTACACCATCTCTAGGATCACAACAAAAGAATCGTTAAGAACCAACAGAAGCCAATCATTTGCAGCTTTCTTTCATACCACAACACCATGTCATACACTGACCACATTTCCCTTTTCTACAACCAGTCCCAGAATCGGCAAACAATGCACGACGTGGAATTTTCTGAGATGACATTCGTAGAACATATCCATGCCACCGAAGTAGATGTTTCAAGATGGTGACGCCAATTGAATTATCGTCTCTTTGCCCGAACATACGATGCAGAACCTCTGCATTACTAACATGGTGTTGCCACTGGATGTCAGTGTGGTGTGTGCTACTTGTATTGACATAAATAGTATATGGCGTTACTCGTCATTAGAAGGTCTGGCAGCAGAGAGACAAGAGGATCGACCAGTAAAGAATGGGAACAGAATGCAATTTGTATGAAAATGCAAGAGCAATGAAGTCTGAGTCATTTTGAGACAACTGATGGACATTTTGCAAATTATGCCTTTACTATAAGATAGATTTTATTAACAAGTCCTTTAATTTTGTGATAATCACATTCTATCGTTCCCCACTGGTGTTCTTGTTCACTACAATCCTTCGGAGACAACAATGATCAAACACAGAGATCCGTCTAACATCCTCAACTCCAAGAGGCCAGGTTTCACAGGCATAGAGAGAAACTGCCCTCACCGACACATTGTAAATCCCAACTTTTACAGCCAGACTAACATCACGAAGGCGCCAAAGATGTCCCAGATTGTCATAATTCGCTCTGGCTTTCACTATATGTGCATTGATCTCATCACTCACACCCCCACCAGCACTTGTGCAGCTACCTAGATACACGAACTTCTCGACTACTTCTATCTGCTCACCATCCAGGGTGAGTACAGGATTAGAATCTTGTCAGTCTTGTAGAAGTACTTTGCACTTCGAAAGTGCAAAGCACATACCATACCTACGGACACTGATTGCCAACTGATTAAGAGCGGATTGCATGACTTAGGCATTATCGCACAGTAAGACAATATCATCCGCATACTCAAGGTCGAGAAGTCTTTCTCCAGGCAACAGATCCACACCGCCATTACTTACATCCATCAGAGCTGTTTCCAGAATGTCATCGATGGCAACATTGAAGAGGAATGGTGAGATTGGACAACTCTGCCTAACCCCAATGCTTGCGTGGAACAATGGAGAGAGGTGGTTGTATGCCCTCACTCTGCCTGAGGTGTTTGTATATAGGGCTTTTAGGATGTTAATAAACTTCTCAGACACACTCTTCTTCAATAGACAATCCCAGAGAACAGTCCTATCCAACGAATCGAAGGCAGCCCTGATGTCAAGAAGCACTACGATTGTTGGCATTTGATAAGTATGGCGGTGTTCTAACATTTGGCGAAGGGTGAAGATATGATTAATACATCCTCGAACCAAAACGAAAAACAACCTGCTCCTCGCGAGTCAATCTTTCTCGTGTTTTGAACAGCCTACGAAGTATGACGGAAGTCAATAGCTTGGACGCAATCGGAAGTATAGTTATCCTCCGATAGTTGTTAGAGAAACGACATGAACCTTTTCTAAAGATAGGAAAAACTATCGACCCATTCCATGATGTTGTAGCACTCTAATGGCCAGACCTCTGTAAACAACACAGTCAGTTCCTTAATCATAAGGGCGCCATCATCTTTAGGAGTGGCTGGCTGTGAGTCATCTGGGATTGGTGATTTGCAGCGCTTCAAGAGTTGAAGTTCCTTGGTGACTTTAACTTCGTTAAGTGGATCAATCGTCACCGGCCATGGAGATCAGAGCAATGTCATCGATGTCACTAGAACAGCAGACTAGCCGGACTGTCCCCCGAAAAACTCTTCCCACCGTACAAGACGTCGGTGGATGTTACTAGCTAGCATCCCATCAGCTTCACAAACTACCTCACACACCAGACGCTTTTTTGTCAATGACTTGGATGAGTCGAAAAAGCTTCCGACTGTTACCAGATGCAAATGCTGCTTCTAACTCATAGACACGCTCCTACAACCAGGCTTCCCGGCTATTACGCAGGCCTTATCCAACTTCCTTACGTAGCAGTCGTCGTTTGTGGTGAAACTCAAGGTCACACGGAAAAGACTGACGGGCTTTACCGAGTTGTAGATAGGCTGTATAAACCTAGTGCTTATAAGTGGGACGTTTCGCGAAACCACAAGCGACTTTATTTGTCATTCTCATGGCGTCATGCAACTGCAGCCAATTTTCATCTATACATTTCTATGGGATGGTAGCTGGCACGTAAAACAAGCTTTTCGGAGCGACAGATAGAGAAAGAACATGTAGTACGTCACTAGAGTCTTGAATACGGATCTCAGATAGACAGTAGACGTCGATATTAGGACTTTCTAAAGACATAGCCAACGCTCTATGTTGTCCGATCTGCATTAGTATGCGAACGTTGAAGGGAGCCAGTTTGGATGATACACGTGGTTTCAGAAAGACTGGTTCATCATTAGTAGTTGGTGGTAGCTTTCAACCTGTAAGCGACTTGTGATTATCTAGGTAGGACAAGGTTTCCACCGTAAGCGAGCTTCTGCATAAGTTGAGAAATAAAATACGCAAAGTGAAGACGGAGTGGAGTATATAAGTGACGCTATAAAAGGGAAATAAAAACACATGTTATCAAGTGATTATGAATATGACTTGTCAGAATAATCGTTGAAGCAAGAATAATTTTTCCAGTAATAGTTATCATTTATTTGTATGTGGTCTAGAATTCTGCTCGAGTGCTCAAACCGAAGCAGTTCTGTCACGCTGAACAATCTCGAAAATTGGTCTTTACAAACCGAAACGTTTATCTCCACTCTTTAAAGTCAGTGGTGGCTGAAGATACTCATTTGATTGACCACGCGGATTTAGCACGTAAGACACTTTTGCCATAACTCGTGCACGTTGCAACTTCCTGATATTCCCTTCCAAATATAATATTCGTTTGAACAAA